TTTTTCTTTCTTTCTTTCTTTTGATGGTACTGAAGATTGAACACATGAACCTTCACGCTGAGCTACATGCTCAGGCCTTTTTATTTTTTAATTTGAGAAGAGTCTTGCTAAGTTGCCCAGACTGTGCTCAAACTGTAATCTTCCTGCCTCAGAGTCCTGGAGCATTCATCTTTTCAAAGTATACAGTTTACAAGATGTACAACCATAATTCTTTTCACTAATTGCAGAAAATTTCTATTGTCCCAGAAAGAAATGTTACACACATTATCTGTTATTCCTATTGCACATTCCCCACTTGATGACAATGACTAATCTACTGTCTTTCCCTGTGAACTCTCCTATTTAAGGTATTTCTTATAAATGGAATCAAAGTATATGGTCTTTCATGTCTGGCTTCTTTCACTTAGTATGATTTTTTATTTTATTATTTGTAAAATTTCTGTGGTTCTGGGAATTGAACCCAGTGCCTGACACATACGAGGCAAGTAACTGTACTACTGGCTATATCTACAATCCTTTTTAAACTTTATTTTTAAATAGGTTCTCATCAAGTTGTCCAGATTGGCCTCAGATTTGTGTTGCTCCTGCATCAGCCACTAGTGTAGTTGAGATTGCAGGCTGTTGTCATCATGCTCAGCCAGCATGCTATTCTTAGATTTTGTATTTTTTTTTCTATTAGTAAATAATATACCATTGTATGTTATACCACATTTTGTTAATCCCTTTTTAAAATGATAGAGATAGGCTGGGCATATAGCTCAGTGGCACAAATGCCTTCCTGGCAAAGTCAAGGTCATGAGTTCAATGCCCAGTAAGTACCAGAACAGAAAAAAATAGATATTTGGATCCTTTCTACTTCTTGTCCATTGTCAATAGTGTAGCTCTGAACATTTCTGTAGAACTTTTTGTGTGAACATTCAATTCTATTTTGTGTATATTTGAGAGTTATTAGGTCATATGACAACTCTATATTTCATTTTATTTTAGTCCCTGTCAATTTAAAACATGCTGAATTTCAGTGTGGTATTTTCGTACGTGAATATATTTTGGTCACATCTTTTTTATTTTTTAATGCATTTGGTACAGGGTCTCCCTATGCAGTTCAGACTCCCAGTGATCCTATTTTCAGCCTCCCAGCACTGGGATTACAGGCATGTACCACCATGCCCAGACTTGGTGACTGGCTCAGCGCACCTGGGGGCAGGATCAACACAGCATGTGGTGCCAGGGATCGAACCCCAGTCCCTCCATTTGCCTAAGCAGGCACTTAGTCTGCTGAGCTATCTCACCAGCCCCACATCCATTTTTATTAGTCCTTACATCTTCTACCCCTTGTTGTCTTCCTCCTATTAAGAGTTTTTCTTCTATTTTTAAAAGTTTATTGTTACATTTTAGATAGACATAATGAGCACATTCATCATAAGAAATTTGTATCTGCAGGATTTAACTTGATTCATACTCCCCCATTCCCCTACTCTTCCCCTCATTTACAAAAAGTTTAATTTTTTTCTTCCTTTTCTCATTTTCTTCTTATCCCTTCCTTCCCTCTTCCTCCCCCTTGATAGTTACCATTCTCATTTGAACATTTTCTTCCTGTTTCCTAATATGCATTATACATTTCGATTTTTATTTACAGTTTCAGTTTCTCACAACAGAGGGGCCTTCCAGGTAGCTGTTGTTTAAGTGCCTGTTCATGCAAACACAGGCGCAGGATACCTCGGTTCAATCCCCACCTCCATCTGCCTAGCAGACCCACCCTTAAGGCAGCCAGAGCCAAAAACCAAAAAAAAAAAAAAAATCCTTCTCACACCAGAGAAACCATTCAAAATTTGAACATGTATGTCCAGTTTATTTCGCTTAAGAGTATGGTCTCAGCCA